TGCAAAAATGTTCTCCTATTCTATAGGTTGTCTGTTCACTCTGTTGATAGTTTCTTTTGCTGTGCAGAAGCTTTTTAGTTTAATTAGATCCCATTTGTCAATTTTTATTTTCATTGCAATTGCTTTTGGTACTTCCCAGCATGAAGTCTTTACCTATGCCTATGTCCTGAATGGTATGTCTAGATTTTCTTCTAGAGATTTTAAAGTTTCACACTTTACATTGAAGTTATTAATCTGTCTTTAGTTAATTGAAAGTGTAGGGTGTAGTATAAGGTGTAGGGAATGGGTCCAGTTTCAGTTTCCTGCCGATAGCCAGTCAGTTCTTTCAGTACCATTTATTAAATGGAGAATGTTCTCTCCATTGCTTGTTTTTGTCAGGTTTGTCAAAGATCAGATCATTATAGATGTGCAATCTTGTTTCTGAGCTCTGTATTCTGTTCCAGCGGTCTATGTGTCTGTTTTTGTTACAAATTCCATGCTGTTTTGGTTACTGTAGCCTTGCATATAGTTTGAAGTTGGGTAGCATGATGCCTCCAACTTCGTTCATCTTGCTTAGGATTGTCTTGGCCATTTGGGCTCTTTTTTGGTTCCATATAAATTAAAAAAAATTTTTTTTCTAACTCTGTGAAGAATGTCAATGGTAGTTTAAAGGGAATAGCATTGAATCTATAAATTACTTTGGGAAGTATGGCCATTTTATGATATTGATTCCTCCTATTCATGAGTATGGAATGCTTTTCCCATTTGTTAGTGTCAATCTTCAATTTCCTTGAGCAGTGGTTTGTAGTTCTCCTTGAAGAATTCCTTTGCTTCCCTTGTTAGCTGTATTCCTAGGTATTTTATTCTGTTTGTAGCAGTTGTGAATGGCAGTTCATTCATGATTTGCTTCTCTGCTTGCCTGCAGAAAAGGCTTTTGATAAAATTCACCATCCCTTCATGGTAAAAATTCTCAATAAACTAGGTATCAAAGGAACATACATCAAAATAATAAGAGCCATATATGACAAACCCACAGCCAACATCATACTGAATGGGCAAAAGCTGGAAGCATTCCCCTTGAAGAGCAGCACGTGACAAGGATGCTCTCTCACTACTCCCATTAAACATAGTATTAGAAGTCCTGGCCAGGGAAATCAGGCAAGAGAAAGAAATAAGGGGTATTTGAATAGGAAGAGAAGAAGTAAAATAATCTTTGTTTGCAGATGACATGATCCTGTATCTAGAAAACCCCATCATCTCATCCCAAAAGCTTCTTAAGCTGATAAGCAACTTCAGCAGTGTCTCAGGATACAAAATCAGTGGGCAGTTTCTTAAAATAAGAGAACAATGTAGTTTTGCTGCATTATTTGAGTCTTCCTTTCATGAAAGATATCTTTGAGCATGCAAAGCTATTTGACAGCATTTTACTCACATTAGAAATTCTTTCAAAATTGGAGTCAGTCCTCTCAAATCCTGCCACTGCTTTATCAACTAAGTTTGTGAAATATTTTAAATCCTTTGTTGTCATTTCTACAATGTCCACAGCATCTTCACCAGGAGTATATTTCATCTCAAACGATTTTGTTCACCTATAAGAAGCAACTCCTCATCCATTCAAGTTTTATCATGAGATTACAGCAATTCAGTCCTATATTCAGGTTCCACTTCCAGTTCTCTTGCTATTTATTTGTCACATCTGCAGTTACTTCCTCCACCAAAGTCAAACCTATCAAAGTCCTCCATGAGGGCTGGAGTCAACTTCATCTAGACTCATCAGTGTTCATATGTTGACTTCATCCTATGAATTACAAATATTCCGAATGGCATCTGGAATGGAAAATCTTTTCTAGAAGGTTTTCTATTTACTTTGCCCAGATTCATCAGAGGAATCACTTTCTATGATAGCTATAGCCTTACATTATATAGTCCTTAAATAATAAGACTTGAGACTCTAAATTAATCCTTGATCTATGATCTGGAGAATAGACGTTTGTGTTAGCAGGCATAAAAACAACATTGATCTCTTTGTACAGCTCTATCAGAGCTTTGAGTGATCAGTGGCATTGTCAATGAGCAGTAACATTTTGAAAGGAATCCTTTCTTGTGAATAGTAGGTCTCAATAGTGGGCTTAAAATATTCAGTAAATCGTGCTGCACTAGTCCCTAACAAGAAAGTTGGACTGTCCTTTTAAAATTTGAAGCCAAGCATTGCCATCTCTTTTCTAGCTGTGAGAGTCCAAGATGACATCTTCCAGTATAAAGCTGTTTCATCTACATTACAAATCTATTGTTTAGTACAGTCACCTTCATCAACTGTCTTTGCAGGATTTTCTGGATAACTTGCTACAGCTTCTCCATTAGCATTTGATGCTTCACCTTGCATTTTTATGTTATAGAGATGGTTTCTTTCCTTAAGCCTTATGAACTAACCTCAGCCAACTTTAAACTTCTGCAGCTTCCTCACCTCTATCAGTCTTCATTGAATTGAAGAGAGTTAGAGTCTTGCTCTGGATTAGGATATGGCTTGAGTGAATGATGTGGCTGGTTTGATCATCTTTCTAGACCACTGAAACTTTCTGCCTGTCAGCAATAAGACTATTTCCCTTTCTTATCATTTGTGTGTTCACTGGAGTAGCACTTTTAATTTCCTTCAAGAACTTTCTCTTTGCATTCACAGCTTGGCTAGCTGTTTGACACAAGAGGCATTTTTGACATGCCTTCTTCACAAACCTTAATCATGGTTAGCTTTTGATTTAAAGTGAGAGACATGTGACTCTTCCTTTCACTTGAACTTTTAGAGGCCTTCGAAGGGTTACTAGTTGGCCTAATTTCAATATTGTTGTGTCTTGGGAAATAGGGAGGTCCAAGGAGAAGACAACACAGGGGAATGGCTAGTCAGTGGAGCACTCAGAACACATAGTACACTTATGCATTAAGTTCACCATTTTGTATGATTGTGGATTGCAGTGTTCCAAAACAATCAAAACAGTAACATCAAAGCTCACTGATCACAGATCGCCGTAACAGATATAATAGTAATGGAAAATTTGGAATAGTGGGAGCATTACCAAAATGTGACACAAAGACACAAAGTGAGAACATTTCAGAAAAATAGTGCTGATAGACTTGCTTAATGCACAGTTGCCATAAATCTTCAATTTCTAAAAATTGCAATATCTGTAAAGCACAGTAAACCTTCAGGTATGCCTGTACTAGAATAGACATATATATGGAACCAATTAGAAAGTCTAGACACAGATTCAATTATATGTAAACATAAGGCATATACCTATTATCACAGGAATTGTATTTGAAAATAGTTAAAATATGTAAATAAAATACATGAACAAAAATGATTCTTTAAAAACAAAACATTAAAATTTCAGTATCATAGGATTTGCTAAATACATTATGATCAGGTGTATATTGGGACCCAAGTTCATCATATAGCCATATAATTGTCATTGAAAAGGGTACAAAATATATGATTAGAGGTAAATAACAGATTAGGAAATATTCTATATAATATTATACTTATATATAAGTATCCTTATATATAATTTTTAAATAAGATTTATAGAACATCGTTTGAACCCTCATATAAACTTCCTTAGAGCAAAGTAGAAAACTTTGGGTAGAAAACTGCAAATGCCTTCCTCAAGATTCTATAGAATCTGCAGTGAATACAACTTCTATTCTCATTATCATCTCTTGATTTCATTTATTTCTCTCATCTGCTATCTGTTCTTGAGTCTTCCCCATCACTACTGGAATAGGCAGCCTAATGCTGGTTACTTGTTCCAAGAGACTTTGTATGGGAAAATGTGTAATAACATTGTCCTAAATAACCAAACACCCAGGAAACATTTAAAAGTGCTTTGTCAGGAGAATGTGTGAATGAATTGTGGTATTCTTGTACAGTGAGCTCCTGTACCATGCTGAAAATAAGTGAAACTCAGAAACATAATATTGATTGAGAAAAAAATCACAGAAGAACTGGAGCATTTGATACTGTATATATAAAGTTTGAAAGCACACAGTACTAAAAATTTATTTTTTATTGATACTTACATGTATAGTTAAAATTTAACACAATCCAAGGAATAAAAAACACAAAGTTCAGAAAACATTTATCCCTGGTAGAAGATGAAAAAGGGTGAGATTGGAAAGATGAACATGGGGTGGGGTGGGGGTCAGGTTTCAATGATATAATGGTAATATTCTATCTCTTAAACTGAGTAGTGGACACACATGGATCCAATTTTTTAAAAATTAGCTTGCATATCGTCTTTTGAGAGTCATTTGTCAGATATTTTGTTGAAATACCTCTTTTCTTTGATACTGAAATATTTGGTTACAAAAGCATAGTTTAACTATCTTCGTTTTACCAACTCCTTTCCTCAGGGGCCTTGCCTTCCCTAAGGAAGCCAGGTTCTACAAAGACTTACATTCCAAGAAGAAATTATGGCCCTCCATTAGGAAGCAGAAGAGGGAGTACTTCATTGTTATTTAAAATATTTTTTTCTTTCCTTTGCACATACTCACACATCCACACATTTTCAGGGTAAAACAGTCTGGGAGGATGTTCACCAAAATATTACCCTCGGTTTTCTCCGCATGCTGGATTTTCATGTGATTATTTTCCTCTTTCTTTATATTTTCAAATTATTCCCTAATAAACAAATATACTTCATTTTTAAGGAAGAAAGCAAATTAACCCATTCTTTTTGGTTAAATTTCAAGGTGGTTTTCAAGGCTTTTAAAATCTGCATAAGTGTTCATACACACTGTAACATTACAACTTAACTAAATCCATGGATTGTTTTGATTAATTTAATTTCAGGATGAACTAGGGGTTTCACTGGAGATTCTTTTTTTCGTGGAATCTTTACAATCTTACCGTTGTAATTTCAGCTTCCCTTTTTATATGCAAACCAGTGAACAACATTAACCAAACTGAAAAGCAAAGTAATTTACATTTGAAAAAAGAAAATCATTTCCCTAACCTGTAGTTAGCTTTGTTTAAAGGACACTAGAGACTGTTCAGTTGATCAATATATATTTATTGGATATCATCTCATCAACTTTTGGCAGGACCTGTATTAGATTCTAGGGATAGAGTGGTGAACAAGACAAATTCCAGCCTTCATGGAGCTTGTGGTCACCTGCTGGACTCCTTATACAATGAGTTTTATCCACAATTTTATCAACAGATAATTCTGCAGGATGGTTTTCAGTAATGAGGAATTCCTTCTGTTGCTTTCTAATGCTCTTTGTTAACAAATTTTATAGTGCCTTTTATTTTGAAAGGTAAACAATATTATTAATTCATGGAAAATTATTTTTGTATTGACACAAATTTGCCCTTTTTGATTTATAAACATTAGTCTTTGTCTTGCCTTTAAGAAATTTAGAATAAATATACCAAGGTAACTTTTTCACATCCCTGCTTTGTGGGATATTTCATGAGGGATAGCCTTTCAAATTGTTGAGAAAGCTATTATGTGGCTGTAAGGCTTCTCTGTATAGAACACTGCAGTTCCGTTCATCATTTCTTCTCTGACATGGTTTCAAAATTATATGCCATTCCTATTGCTTTCCTCTGGATGACTTCTATTTTGTCACCCTTTGTTGTTAAAAATAAATTACTCACAATTTCCTGCTTTCAATGGATTATAGTGACTGTAATTGACTCTCTGACGTGTCAGGGTCTGGTATGGTCTGAAAGCAATTACCCTGACCTTGAATTCTGCTGTACTGTAATATCATTGTGGAAAAAGTAGGAATTCATAGTAAATCTTTATCAACCCTAGAATATACTTTGGGAGATTTTTTAAAAATATTAGTTTATTTTTTATTAGTCTTTTTCTTGATTGTGAAGCATACTTTATAAAGGTAACACATAAAGATGGTCTACAACTTACGATGGTTCAACTTATGAGTTGTTGCCTTTGCAGTGATGTGAAAGCAGTATATGTTCAGTAGAAATCATACATCAGATATTGAATTTTGACTTTTTCCTGGGCTAGCATTATATCCTGTGATAGATACTCTCTCATGATGATGGGCAATGGTAGCAAGCCACAACTCCCAGTCAGCCACATGATGGCAAGGGTAAATAACCTATACTCTACAATGTACTGTGTTACCAGATGATTTTGCCCAAGTATAGTCTAATGTAAGTGTTCTGAGCACATTTAACGTAGGGTAGGCTAAGCTATGCTGTTTGGTAGGTTAAGTGTATTAAATGCAGTTTCTACTTACATTATTTTCAACTTAACTTTGTGTTTTTTGTAAAGTAGAGGAGAATCTGTAGCAAAAATAAAACATGATTAATTATGAATTTCATCATGCAGAATTTCACAGTCTTCTCCAGCAGACTGTAAACTTCCTTAGAGCAAGAATCATGTCTGGTTAGTTTTAAAAAATGTCCAGCACTTAGCACATAATTTATATATATGACATATATATAAATATACTATATATATAACATATATATAGTAGATGCCCAATAAACATTTGTTAACTAATTAATGCCTTATGTACAAGAAATTAAAATCTTCTATAATGAAATGAATTCTAATTTTTAGAATATATAAAAAAAAATCAATAATGTAGAACTGGACCTACATTTTATCCTAACCTGAAAAGAGTACCTTAGTGTATTAGTTAACAGTATTTACAAGGAAAAATACTGGTGTGCTAGATGGCAAGACTAACTCTAAATGACAGAAAACCCAATTAGCAATGGCCCAAACTTTAAGAATATTGTTATTTATGTAAGAAGCCTGGAGAAACTGGCCCTGTGTCTATTTGAGCAGCTCAACAATATCATCAAGGTCCCTGGCTCTTTTTATCCTTCTGTTGCCATTCTTGGCTTGTTACCTTTTTGATCTTAAGCTTCTTGCCTTCTGGCCACAAAATGCTTGCCCTCACTCCAGATATCAAAACTGCATCCAAAGAGAGGAGCCTAGGGATGACCTTAGCTCTGAAAGAGCCTCCTCATGAGCTTCTTCTCTGGGGAAAAGTATTTTTCCATTAGCCTTTCAGCAAACTTTCCCTTACATCTAATGGGCCAAAGTTGAATTATATGGCTATCTCCAGGAGGTCAGCAAAGGAGTAGAGTCTTGGGACTGACTGTTGATTAGTTAAACAATAATTTATGCCACAACTAGATAATAGATACAGATTATAAAAAAGAGCAATACCTTTACTAATTCAGTAATAAACTCAGTCTTTCTAAATTATGAGGACTCTTTAAAATATCTCTGATGATACTGGGGTTGTATAATTCTATAATTTATTCAAACAAACAGATGAATCATAAGCTGTCAATCACTTTGGAAATAACTACTGAATCTGATTATCTTTTCTAGTTTTTATAAATTAAACAAAGCTGTTTCTTCATCACAAACCTGTTTTTATTTTTTCTTCTTTTCAGGAGTCCTATCCAAAGAAGAGAAATTACACTATGGAAATTGTACCATCTGCTTCTCTGGATACATTTCCTTCAGAAAATGAGAACTTTCTGTGTGATCTCATGGACACAGCTGTTACAAAGAAACCTTGCTCCTTAGAAATCGCAAGGGCATCTTCCCCAAGAACTGGTAATATTTCTTACTCACAATTGGCCTGATTCAATTTGAATGCTTGTTTATGTGCAGATGTATCATTAACATTTTGATTTCCTACTATGTTATCAAAATGCAAGTTCCCTCAATGTGTTCCCAATAATTAATTTTTTTCATTTTGAAGTGAGTCTCCAGGTAAGTCAAAGGGTTTTTGATTTGAAGTCTCCTAACTTCCTGGTAAAAGCCCTAATGGACATGGTAATGCCTTCATAAAGATACTTCAAAACCTTTTAATAGCAAAAAAAAACCTTCTAGGTAAGATACATAGCTTTGGGTCCTTCAGGAGTTCATAGCCAATTGGGTACCAAGGGTCTTTTTATATCATTTTTTGCATCCTATCTCTTACTAAGTTATCAAATCTTACATAGCTGCTTTGTGTATTTCATGTCTTCTATGGCATTATCAGATCCATTATTATATTTTATTTTTTTTGCATTACAAACTAGTGAACAAAGCAAGACAAATATTATCCCCATTTTGCTGATAAAGAAATTAGAGCTTTAAGATCAATAAATAGTGGGGCCTATGCTTGAACGTGGATTTTCGACTACCGTCATAGTTTCTTTCTATTACTTCATCACTCGCTTTAAGAAAGAATACAGAGTAATTACATGAAAGCTAATGAAGGGGGAAATTTTCAAGAAATTTCAAAGTGATCAATATATTTAATGCTGCAAAGGAGTTGTAAGAAAAATTCTGAAGAGAGCCTATTTTTGGGTTTGGTAATGCAATTGCAACTTACTTTTGAATGGTAAATTTTAGAAGTGATGTGGTAAAAGTAGATGTCTGGAAGTTAATAGTGAGACACGGGGAAATGAGGTAGAAAGTACAAATGACTCTTGCAAGGAGATTAGAAGAAGAGGTATGATGGTAACATAAGAAGAAAGCAGGTGCAAGAGGGAAATAGCTAGTTTATTTTAGGAAAAGTAAGACTTGGTCAAGTCTAGAGGAATTTTCTGGTAAAGCAAGCTACTGAAGATAAAGAATAAAAAGACAGAACAGAATGAGTAGAAGTAAAAACTCAGCTAGTTTAGGAAAACACAGACATTGCTTCCCCAGACAGTAGAGCGAAGACAGCATGGTAATGAATACAGAGAAATTCTGAAATATTTAGTTTCAAATGGATTCAATTGCTGGGTATGATGCGAGGTTATTGGCTAAAAGGAAGAGCTAGATCTTGAGAAGGGTTAAGATAAAATCCAGGCCAGGAGCGATGGCTCATCCTGTATTTCTACCACTAGCCTATTATAGACACTACCTCATGCCTGTAATCCTAGCCAAGGTGGGTGGATAATTTAAGCTCAGGAGTTCAAAACTAGCCTGGGCAACATGGTGAAATCCCATTGCTACAAAAAATAAAAAAATTAGCTGGATGTGATGGCACGTCACTGTAGTCCCAGCTATTCAGGAGGCTGAGGTGGGAGGATTGCTTGAGTTTGGGAGGTGAAGACTGCAATGAGCCATGGTCACACCACTGCATTCCAGCCTGGGTGTCACTCAGTGATACCCTGTCTCTAAATAAATAAATAAAATTCAGAAAAGCCATTATACATAACAGTCTAGGAATTTTGTACAGGTGAAAAAATGGATTTTTGAGCAGTACTGATGCTAGGGTATTAATGAATCATAAACATACAATTGGAAGATTTTTAAGTAAGAGTGTGGTAATGAAAATAGTAAATTTAATGCACATTTATTATGTGGCAGATACTGTTGTAGGTGCTTTAGATGCATTATTCCATATGATTCTTACAATGCTGTGAGGTACTAATACCATTATTCTCATTTTACAAATAAGGAAACTGAGGCATTGAAACACTTGCTGACCTCCCAAGGTTACATGTTAATGAGGGGTGGATTTAGTACTTGACCTTGGGTTGTCCAACTTGTGCTCTTAAACATTATGTATAGCGCTGCATTGTATTAGGGGATGAAGTGGGGGTAAATATTGGGAATCAAGTACTGAAACCCTCAAGAAATGTAGCGATATGACCGGAGGTCCACATATGATAGCAGCAAAATTACGAAAAGAATGTTATAGAATAGCATAAACTTCAGATGAGCATCAGATTTTGGATTAAGGCCAAAGAATAGAGAATGATCCAGAGAAGTCATGAAGAATGAAAACAATGCTGATCCCAGAAGTTGACAACAATGAGGACTCTTCCATAAGAGAGATAATGAGGGAAGTAACATATTGTAGGAAAGCTCCATTAAAGTAGGAAAATGCAGGAAATAGATGTTCAAAATGTGAAAGAGCTTTAATTGGGACACAGAGGGTAGGGGAATATCGGGGTGATAGAGGAAGGAATGCAAGAATTGAAGACACAACTATGTATCGATTAAGTAGCCAAAAACTAATTGAGTTCCTATGCATGCTAGGGCACAGTTCTGAATACGGAGGATACAAGGATTAAAATGACATAGACACAGATAACAAGGCTGATCAGGCTCAGGTCAACTCTGACTGAAAACAAATAAAAATATTGGATATAAATATAGAAAGGAAAAACTTTTTAAAAGTATCACAGCAGATCTCTCAGTAGAAACCCTACAAGCCAGAAGAGAGTGGGGGCCAATATTCAACATCCTTAAAGAAAAAAACTTTCAACCCAGAATTTTACATCCAGCCAAACTAAGCTTCATAAGCGAAGGAAAAATAAAATCTTTTGTGAACAAGCAAGCACTCAGAGATTTCATCACCACCAGGCCTGCTTTACAAGAGCTTCTGAAAGAACCACTACAAATAGAAAGGAACAACCAGTATCAGCCTTTCTAAAAAATACCAAAAAATAAAGAACATCAACATAATTAAGAAATTGCATCAACTAATGGGCAAAACAGCCAGCTAACATTAAATGACAGTATCAAACACACATATATTGTTATTAATTCTAAATTTAAATCGACTAAATCCCCCAATCCAAAGACACAGACAGGCAAAAAAAGCCAAGACCCATTGGTATGCTACATCCAGATCCATCTCACATGCAAGGATACATAAAGACTCAAAACAAAGGGATGGTGAAAAATTTACCAACCAAATAGAGAGCTAAAATAAATAAATAGAAAGCAGGAGTTGCATTTTTTGCTGATAAAATAGATTTCATAGCAACAAAGATCAAAAGAAGCAAAGAAGGATATTACATAAAGATAAAAGGATCAATGTAACAAGAAGAGCTAGGGATCCTAAACATGTATGCACCCAATACAGAAATACCCAGATATATAAGACTTACAAAGAGACTTGGACCCCCACACAATAATAGCGGGAGACTTCAACATCAATATTGGATAGATCAATGAGACAGAATGTTAACATCGATATCCAGGACTTGAACTCAGATCTGGAACAAGTAGACTTAATTAACATTCATAGAACTCTCCACTTTAAATACATAAAATATACACTCTTATCAGTACTACATCACACGTATTTGCAAGTTTAAATGAAATATTGGTTGGCTGCTTGTTAATTATTTTCTTCCCTCATTTTTTTTTAATTAATTAATTTATTTTTTAATGTCTTTATTATTAAACACAATTACAGGCATACCCAGTTTTAGACTGCATTCTAGCCCGGGCAATAAAGCAACACCCCTGTTCTCTCTCCCTCTTCCTCTTCCTCTTCCTCTTTCTTCCTTTCCTTTATTCTTTTTCTTTCTTTTTTTTTTTTTATTCTTTTTCTTTCTCTCTCTCGTTCTTAAAAAAAAAAAAATGCAAAAATTATCCAGGCCTGGTGGCATGTGCCTGTAGTCCCAGCTACTTGGGAGGCTGAGGCAGGAGAATCACTTTAACCCAGGAGGCGGAGGTTGCAGTGAGTGCCACTGCACTCCAGTCTGGGTAAGAGTGAGACCCTGTCTCAAACAAACAAACAAAAACAACAGAAAGAAAGAAACCTAAGATTTCTTCCTCTTTTCCAATCTCC